GTATAAAAGCGGACTGTTCCGCGTTTCTCTCTGCGGGGTAGTGGTTTGGGGGTGGAATCCATCTTCCAAAAGCCCACTGCATGGAAAAGCAGATATGCAAAGCCACGCATAGAAAAATGCAACCGAAAAGGTTCTCAAAATATTACTTTAATCAATAGGCTGCATTTACTGCGGGGTATGCAGGGGGTAAGAAATTCACTATGCGTTACGGGGCGAGTTCTAAGTGTTTACTGGCGGGCTCACTGGGGAAAATGTGGGGAAGCAAGGTTACTGACCATCTAAGTCCGCCCCCTTTTTCCAACCAGAGCTATTAAGGAATTCCTCCTATGTTGGCAACGTACGTTTTGACCTTACAGCCTGCCACCACCACCACCGCCGCCCCACCACCCAAACAAAACCGCCCTCCAAAACCGCTTGCTCCAAGCATGGGCGGGGGTCATCACGCCAAAAACAAGTTCAGCAGGACCCTTCACCGCGTGCAGTCCAAAGTCACACAGTTGCGTGGGGATGTCTTTTTCTTCAGGGTACCTTTTTGGGGGTTGGTTTAATTTTCACCGGGAACCTATCAAAAATGGTCGGCGGACATTCATCCCATGTAAATGATGTCCACTCAAGGCTCCCCCCAATACAAGGACGACAAAACGCTAGCACCAGATCCAAAAAGGGGCCATCTTATTGACAACCCTCAGTTCGAGCTGGGTGAGTTGGTAGATGGCACGCTTCCCGGTAGACGTAAGTAAAGGTGACTCAGCCAGAATGAGGGCGAATGCCCCCATGTTGGTCTTTGAATCCTCTTCTATCTTGCCCAAAGGACCCGGAAACAAAAGGTTAACCTCTTGTGGCCTTGACTCAATACTGTGGACGGACAAAATCCGTTCGCACCACAGTCCAACAATAAATATTAAATCCTGTAAAGATAAATAGAATTATAATATGTGCAAAGATTAATAAGATAGAAATATTAATAAGAAAACAAAATGAATCTGATGTAACTTCTAAATGTAATGATTTCCAAAATAAAAGAATTCTAAAGAAGAAGTAAAGAGAAATAGAAAAGTGTCTTTATGGAAAGGCTGAGGAACGAAGATATCATGTCCTTTTCTTTTTTTCTTTTTTTTATGTTGTGTGTCTTTTCTTTTTATGTTCATTACATTTTGGATATTTATAAATCTAGGAATTTCCATAATAATAAAAGCGTGTAAATAGGATTAGGAATGAATAATAAAAAGATGTGGATAGACAATAATATGATGAATCCTAAAGTGAATGATATTAAAAGAGGAAATGAAAGGTAATAAAAATGATGGTTCCATCTAATTCACGAGAAACAGGATATGGAAAGGACAAGATATAAGTGAGTGAGATTTCTTTTCCCATCTGTTCAGTCTATTTCTCTCACATTGTCGTTACAACTTTAGAATTATCAAAATGAATTATCTTAGGTTAAAAATCATTATCCTATATTATTTGCTTTGTTTACAAGTCTTTTATCAGCTATTAAGCATTCTATTTTCCAAATTAATTTAAGATGAACAAGTACCACTTGGGAACCATGGTTGAAACCATTGTTCGTTGGCATTTATGGGGGAATCCTCCCTCGCCTCTAGGCCTCTTAGTTGGTGCGAGAAGCGGATTTCGTCCATCCACAGGACCAAAACTGGAAAACCGACAGGTCGATTCAGGTCGACTCAGGTCGATTCGTCAAGGGCAACTGCTCGGGTATAGCAGGTGTCCGTGTTTCGGCACCGGGACCCTCAAAACTTCCCCCCCAAATAAATAAATAAATAATGGAAATGGCACTTCTGGGAAGTTGGGTCCAGGTACCTATTCTTGCCAACCACCCCCTCCGCGGAGAAAAAAAATAAAGAAAAAACAAACAAAACAAAAACAAAAAAGGAACCAACACAAAACACCAAAAAGAAGAAGAAGAAGAAAACCGGGGGAGAAAACAACAACAACAAAAAAAAAAACGCGCGCGTCTCCTCGTCCGCGCCTCGCATTGGCCCCGGCGGTTGTCCCCGAAGCACACCAGGCGCCCGCTCACATCCACGGCGCAGCTGTGGCGGTGGCCGCAAGCCAGGCCCACCACGGGGAGATCCAAAGCGGGCGCCAGGCACTGGCCACAGCCGTTGCCACCGAAGCCTGGCCCCGCCCCAAGACGAGGCCCTTGGTCTCACCCTGGCGCTCATATTGCAAGAGCTTGAAAGGCGACAACAAGTGCCGAAAGAAAGACAGCCTGCAAGCCCTGCAAGAGGTTGAAAGAAGACAAGCGCCGAAAGATGAGAAAGGGTGCAAGACTCTCACCCTGCAAGAGGTTGAAAGGCGACAACCGCCGAAAGAAAGATTTGAGAAAGGGTGCATAAGCCTTGGGAGTCGTTTTGGGGTCTGGGGAGTCCGAACTGGGCCGCAGAAAAGCCCTCAGATCACGAGCTCGTTTGACTTCTGGGGTGAATGAAAACGACCACCAAACCAACTAAAATCCTACAAAGCTAAGGGGATGGAGCCACCACAACCCAAACGGTATGGGCTTGCAAAAAACTGGCTGTTTCTCGTAGCCGGCCAAAAATGAACAGAACCAAAACAACCGGAAAAACCGCAAAAAGAAGAAGAAGAAGAAGAAAAAACGCTTGCCAAGCACAGCGAAGAACCACCCACCTCGGCGGGTCCCCCAACATGGGTGTGCTTCTTTGGGGTAAACCTTCTTGATGGTTTTCAAGAAGCCCACATTTTGGTGGGCCCGGTCCAATTCCTAAAACAAAAGACACCACACACCCAACACAGAGGTAGCCGCCCCCGAACGCGAACGCCGAACCGCGGGGCGAGCAGCACACCAGCCGCCCATCTCTGCGGACTGCGCAGGTGTGCTCGAGCCCCGCCGCGACCGCCAGCACCGGGCCCAGGTCTGCTGGCACCTCTCCGCATTGGACCGGGGCAAACCAACCAATCCCAACCAACCAATCCCAACCAACCGTCTAAGAAATGGGTAACAGCCCAAAAAAGGTAGAGGCATGCTGAGAAGGGGCTGTTAGCCATTTCTTAGAAACCGGGGAAACCAACCAAGCTCCTTGCAATTGCCAGGGGAACCAATCCAAACCGGAGCATCTAAGAGGGGAGGACAAATCCGAATGTTCCAATTCTCGGATCCGATTTTAATCTGGCCATTTCTATCTGCGCGCGCGGATGCTCGTCTGGGGAAAGTCGGGGTTGCTTGGGGTGGTCTCTCTTTAAACATATCCCAAAGAGGGCACCCTCAAAACACAGACACAAACACACAAACACAGACACAGACACAGACACAGACACAGACACAGACACACACACACACACAAACGCAGACACAAACACAAACACAAACACAAACGCAAACACACACAAGCACACACAAACAACAAACACAAACACAAACACAAACACAAACACAAACACAAACACAAACACAAACACAAACACACACACACACACACACACACACACACACACACACACACACACACACACACACACACACACACACACACACACACACACACACACACACACACACACACCACACACACACACACACACACACACACACACACACACACAGACACACACACACACACAACACGAACACACACACACACACACACAAACAACACACACACAAACAAACAAACACACACACACACAAACAAACACACGCACGAACAAACACACACACACACACACTCACAAACACACACACACAGACAAACCAGCACACTCGAAGAAAGCGCAAACATGGCACACTTTCCGTCACAGAAACACCTCTGGCTCACACCTTGGGGATTACAGGCTTCATTCCACACCCACACCAGATTCTAGAAAGGATTATGTATGTATGTAAGTAGTAAACATGATATGTATTTATATATACATATTGTAATTACATTAAATATATATATATATATGCTACCCCCCCCCCCCCCAGGGACCTACCTTTTGGCTGCCTCTCCAGTGCATGAATTGCCCATCTAGGACTGGGAGGAACGATCTCTCAACTAGGACCAGGACCAAATGAGACTAGAACCCAGGATCTCTGAACTGGGACTAGGACCAAACTAGGACTAGACGACCCACCTCAGATTCTTACAAAAAATGAACTTCAAGTGTACTTCCTCTGCAATGTCCTGTATATTTTCTAATTGTTGCAGTAAACTAGGGAGCAACCTAACACTAGAACCAAGGATCTCTCATCTAGGACCAAACTAGGACTAGACCATTTAATTCTACTTCTTATAGTATTTGGATGTCAAGTATTACATTCTGGTGGAAAAAAAGTCCTGTTTAATATTTGGTCCTAACATGTAAATTCTGACTGGATATTCTCCTTATTTCAAATTCAATTGTTCAGCTAGAAGTTGCATAGAACTTGACTAATATATTAACTACAATTCATAACGACCTTCCTTTGTAATGTCCTTTATACGTTCTATGTATTTCAGTAAGCTGGGACCATACTTGGCCCATAACCAAGGATCTCCCAACTAGGACTAGGACCAAACTAGGACTAGCTAGTTCTGAAAGTGATTGAATTTCAATGTACAATGGTCTATTGGACAGAAAATCCGCCGACCCCATGCCTGGTCCAGAATGGACCATGCTTTCGGCATGGGGGCGGTGTGTTCTGTGTTGCTTTTGTTGATATGCTTTCTATAAGTTTAATGTGAATATGATTATGTAGATATATATATATATAACCTATAAGTCCCTTGGGGCGGCCCTTGGGGCTGGTTTCTACGTCGGCTGGATTTCTGGATTTCTGGATTTCTGGATTTCTGGATTTCTGGATTTCTGGATCTCTGGATTTCTGGATCTCTGGATTTCTGGAATTCTGGATTTCCCCTCCCCCCCCCCCCTCCCCCCA